CAAGGTTTTGTCAGATAACCATGCATACTACATTTTAGAAAAATGTACCAGGCTGTATTATGTGATACTGGCACTTACTAAGCCAGTAACACAAACTTCTCAATTTTCCCACAACCCTTTCCTTCATTTTGGTGGAGCTTCCATTCTTGTAGCTTCAAGTAATCTTCAGGAAGTCTGGAGAAATTTGACCTTCTTGACTTTACCTTTCTGCCTCTTTTTCAACAGCCCCCTCATTTTTGGGAAATTTCCCTTTTATGGTCAAATGTGATTCTTTGGAAGCCAACTGACAGTTTCCTACTTGCCTAATCTGTATTTACTTATCTCTTTAGCAACCCATCTTGCAAAAGATGAGAAAGCTAGGCCTTTCCTCACCTTGCTTTCCCAAGGCCCTCCTGGGGCAGGTCGCCTGTTCCTTCAGTGGAGTATTTAAGCACCTAATCCAGTGTTTCTCAACCTTGGCAACTTTAAGATGGGTGGACCTCAATTCCCAGAATTCCCCAGCCAGCATTGTTGAGTTGAGGTCCACCCATCTTAAAGTTGCCAAGGTTGAGAAACACTGACCTAATCTAAGATTTGGCTGTGCAGAACCATGGTGACCTGCTTTAATGTTTACAGCATTAACATCAAGCTGGCTCCAGCTTGTTCTCTCACTGTCCTGTGAGAAAGCTCAGAGCTTGTGGCATAATGGGAGGGAGGAGGTCATCCAAGACCCCATTTGAATAAGGCACATTTGTGCATTAATGAACATGGGTGAGGGAGGGGAAGCTGGTGCTCCCCCTCTCATCTGAGGCCCAGAGTGTGGTCCTCCAGAGAACAGGTCTGTGGAGGTGTATCTAAAGTGTATGAGCAGGTTCCTTTCAGGTGTTCAGTGAGTACATGGAGGAGGCAGGTGAGGTCCGTCCTTCTCTCCCCCCACCCCGCCGTGCATCCACTTCTGGCTGGAGCAGAAGATAAATCTCATGCAGAAGAAAACCTCTTGCCCTCACCCATGACAAGAATGAACTAGGGGTTCAGTCTCTTCCCTTCATTCCCAATATAAGAAGCAGAGAGAGTGGGTGAGGAGGCTCATGGAGGGACTGCAGGAAGCCACCATTCTCTCCTGGGATTCCCTGCTGAGGACACCCTACAGATATGGTTGGACAATGACTGAATGAGGAAACTGACGGGAGTTCAGGCTCCAGGACATGAGAGACTTTCCCAAGCAAAATGTGTGCCTTTGTGGACCAGCTATTTTGAGAAAAAGGCATTTGATAGTACTGGAAAAAGATGTTGAGCTACCCTAGGCATTGTCAGAGTGTGCCCCAAATCGCAGCAAGCCCAAGTCATCAGACATCTCAGTTGGTTCGGGAACTTGGGGGGCATTTGTGGGAGCTCCGTGGCAGAACCCAAAGACTGAAGATGTCTGGCTTCAGTGTCACTGAGACTCTGCAGAATGCAGGAACTTGAGACTTGCCAAGGAATGCAATGCACCCGGGGCTGTGCACAAGGTGTCCCAAGGTCATGTGGCAAAAAGGGCTCTCCAAGAGAAGGTGGCTACCGTAATATTTTGGGAGCTTGGCTGGGGGAGTCTGTGACACAAGAAAGGGGGAGGAAAGGCTGTTAATGTGGAAGAGAGGGGCAATGGAGACTGCATGAGTAACTTGGCCAACACGTTTCTTTTGAAGTTGTTTTTAAAAAGCCGCAAACGGATGCTCCCATGTGGGGGGATCATAACCATGGAATGGATTCTGGGGCTTCTTTGTCCACAATCCAGGAAGCCACTGAGAACTGCTCAGCAAAGAACAGCTGGTGGATGTACAGTAGTTGAAAACAGTCAGAGCCCTCCTAAGCATCAGGCGGAGGGAGTTATCCCACCTCAGACAGGAGATCCTGGGGTGACAGATTAGCAAAACGTTGGGGGCAGAGACTGTGTGCGATGTGGGCCCTTCTGTGCGCCCTAAACTAAACAGGTTTTCCAGGTGTGACAGAACATGAGTTCACTTTATATGTGGGCTCAATGGCCAAATTAAGTACAATTTTAAGACAGGTATAAGAGAAAGAAATGGAGCATTATAAAGATGAAATAGACCATTAAAAACCTGTAAAAATCTAAAATACGCAGAACTAATCTACTCAGTTACCAGAACTATTAAATAATTACCAATTATTAAAAACAAAAGCAATAAAATACTTCCGTTTCAATTCAATGGTGACTAAAATTTTACGCAGCTTAAGTAATCATTCTAGGAAGACAAAAAAATCATTGTGAACTTGAGTAGCTGTCACTGACTGTCACTCATTGTAAAATCATAAAATGACGTTTTGGAATTCTGCCCTGAAAGGATCATGGGATTCTAAAAAGGGAAAACTGAACTATTTTGCAACAGAAACGCAATAGTGATAAGGCAGAAGTTAGCTACTCTCCAAAGTGTGTGAAGGAGGAGGAGAATTAGACTGGCATCTGGTTATTCAAGGAGATTCAAGACTGGTTTATTGGTCAGTACAGGCAGGTGGCGTTCCTGTCTTGACAGATAGTTTACCAAAGCATTAACACAGAAGTTCCGTCAAGTTGGGGTGAGGATACATCCCTGTTTCACCCCTTTTTGGATGGATATGGTTGGGGAGAGGACAGGGAGCTCTGAAGAGCTGCATCTGATTTGCACGATGTTGATCTTGTGCGACTTCATAATCAGCGTAAGAAGGCACCATTCAATAGATGAGACAACCAGTGTTTCCACTCACTGTCCTGTGAGAACTGGTTTCCAGCTGAATTTCACCCCGTCTTCTCAGGCCCCTGTGGAGCAATTCAGCTGCCAAGTCCTGTTTTCACCACCATCAGGAACCCGAACCCGAACCCGAACCCGAACCCAGCTTCTGGGGACTGAGCAAACGGCCTTCAGATCTCTAAAGTCTACCTAGAGTTTACCATGTCAATGTGCAATCTATTTTGCAGCCAAAAGGACGAGCACTAATTAATTAGTCTAATTAATAATTAATTAGACTAGTCTAATGTTGAATGCCCTCACTAAAGCCAGCGTGATCCTCCACCATAATATTATTCTGCAGCAGCCAATTTTCTTTCCGGTGTCCGGCATGTTGTTTGCTGCTGAGGCTCAACAGGCCAATGGGAGGATAATTTGTAGAAGTAGCTTTATCTCCTGGATAGACATGTCTCCATCCCATTAGAGTCTGAGCTGTGCAATCTGTGTATGTGAATGGATTTGCAAGACCTGGGACCCACAGGCTGGTGTGGGCTTTCAGTAATTCAGCTGAGATTTGTTCACCCCAAGACTTGGCTTGCTTCAACCGTGCAGTAAGTTTGGTGGTCTCAGAGTGGGACCCCAGAGCCCAACTTGTTGAGCCTTCTGGGCAAGATTGTTGTGTATAAATGGAGCCTGGGCCGCCACTCAGTTGAGTTCTGAAGCCACCGGCCAGCCCTTACTTGTGGAGAAAGTGGGTCAAAATGCAGAAGGAGCATTGGGGAAACCAGTGGACACAAAGGGCCAGAACGCTGTGGAGTTCTTGCTTCAATATCTTGGCCACACTTCTGTGAGTTAGCCACCGGCACTGCCATCTCTTTCCACTTGAGGAGGGAACTCAGGGGACGGGTTCTGTGCGCTCTGAGGTTACTATGACTGGTCCTGTCACCCGTGTGGAAGTGCTGCTGTACTAGGCTTCTGCGCATGTGATGGGGAGCAATGTCATCTTCTCCTTTGTGCGGGGCATCGTCTTGGACCAATCTGAAAATAGAGGGGCATATCCCTCGAAGCTTTACAAAAGTGAAAAATAGTGTAAGTATAGAAGCGAAGTCTGCAGATAAGAGCTTGAATTTGGTTTAATATAGGTCAGAAGGAGACCCCTGAAATTTGGGTTTATAAAAAGGTGCAAGATGGCCTCTGTTTAATACCAGCAAAGGAGACTTGAACAGCTCTTGCTGTAAGAATATTTTTCCTGAAGTTCGAATTCCTTATTGGCTTTCTTCTCTGCTTTAATTCCTATGGTTCTTCCTATTGTTCGTTGGTCTACTTGGCCTCTTTGAATCCTAACCCTTATTTTTATTGTTATGCCCAACGACTGTCTGTGTCTTTGTGGTCTTCATAAATTCTAAATATACTCTAAAGCTCTCAAAAGGTTGTGTCTGGGGCTAGAGTCCAGTCACAAGGCCTGGGCTTCTCCAGATGCCGGGAAGGACCACAAGGATGACCTGGTCCAACCCTCTGCAATACGCAGGAGAACCAGTTAAAGCATTCAAGGGCCTTCGTCTTTCCCCATTGTGGGAAAGGCCTTGTTCCTACCACCCCGGTTGAGGGGAAGAAAATAAATTGGTGGCCGCAAATAGCAGCGGCATCACGTGGGGTCTCCAGGTGAAGGGGACCAGCCTGGGGGCAGAGGGAGCCTAACTCCAACTGGTACTTTGAATGACCCGATCAGGAGGCCTCCAGGTGACCCCTTTAGGTGGCCTGGTCAGCCTGAGTCTTGGCGGGGCTTTGGGTCTCCCTGGCTGGGCAGACCCTCTTTTTGAGCCCCAAGGGGAAGGACCCAGCTCCCGAGTAGGCCATCACCAAGAGAGGTCCCACCACATCCTCTAGCCTGGAG